AAAGGATATAGCCATCTCGATTATCGTTTATCGTTTTTGTCGAGTATCGACCGACGAGATTTAGTCAACGAGTCTATTTGGTGGGATAAAATCGCGATTTTGTTCCACTTCGCTAATAACTCTCATCGTCGAGAGAGGGAACTTACTCGATACTCAAATAGAAATGCGCTCGTGACTCGCGGACCTAAAAAGCGGAGATAGCAATCTCGAGTTTCGGCCTTTAATTACATGTCTCAGTTGAATGAGCTCCGTTCATAGCTTCCTCGAAATGACAGATGTCACGCAAAATTATTTCCATTAAAATTACGCTTGTATCTGTATTTGACACAGTTCTTTATTTTGCTTATTTTTATCATTATTGAACTGTTACCGTTAGCCTTATAATGTGCCGTATTTTATTTTCGTTCTTTCGCAAGGAAAGAATAATTTTGCTAACATGTTTAAAAGTTTAACTAAATATACACAGTTCTAAAAGTAATTTTGTTGAACCGTCAAAGTAATTATATAAAAATCGCAAGCATAATACTGCAAAAATAATATTTTTTTGACATTGTAGTAATTAATTTGAGCATATATAATTACTTTAATGATCCTACATTATTACTTTGATAATTTAATAAAATTATTTTGAGATCTGTATCTAACTAATTTTTAAATATTTCAGCAAAAGTCCTTTTGCGTGTCAAATAATTTTGTATAAATATATACACATATATATATATATATATACAATATGTATATGCAAGTATCGTACGGTTGTGAGGAACAGAGTACCGTTCTTTAGCATGTGCCATATGTAGAACGCTATGCGTATTGGTATCAAAACTCTTAACTTTCTATATTTACACTCTCGTATACCTTGGTAATGTAAGTACACTTGTGCTTTTAAATTATTTTAAAGCTAGCAGCCTAATTCAGTAGGTTTTATAAAACTTTATTTAAACATCTTATTAATTATTAAACATCTTTCTTGAGCAGAGATACAGATATTTAATGTGAAAATATTTAAAGAACTTAAACCGTCATCAACTTTTTAAGAGCGCCTCGGTTAAAAAATATTTTGGTAACAAAATTCAAAGGTATTTAAGAAAGTCTTCATAGACCTATGAGATCCTTCGACATTTCACTCTCGTGTTAACTACCGGCGACTTCACAATAACGACAAAATTAATCTCCTTCCTTCTATTTTGCTTCGCACAATAAACTCCCATTGACGTGTCAACCTAACTCGTTACCCACATAAAATGTCGAAATCCCATGATAGCACAAAGTGTACAATCGTGTACGCTTTCCACGCGTTGCTCTTTGTGTGCAAGATCGTTGCAATTATCTCAGTTATCTTAAAAGCACGAAGTTTATCTCACAAAGAAACGCGACGATTTCGCGAGAAAAGAGTCGATTTCCATTGGTTGTAGAAATTAAACAAATATCTCTTATCAATGAACAAAACATAGAATATATGATATTAAAACGTAGAATAAAAAAATTAAATTTTAATAAATATTTGAATAGATCTAAGTAAATATTTATTTACTGTATGTAAGTTTACTAATACTATTCAAAGAAATATATACATATCAAGATTTAGTACTTCCCCCCAACACATATATTATACATATTAAAAATAAAAAGAATCTTCTCTAAATCTATCATTTAGGAAAATACGAAGAAGCACGCATTTAAGTGAAAGGAGACTATAAAGTCTAACATGGATCATTAGAGAAGTATTCAAAAAAGAATTCGCTTCGCGTAAATAACGTGCGTTTGGTATTACTAGTATGTGTGACGAAATAATAATATAAAGATATTTTTTTAAATGCGAACGCATGATCGTTTATGTAATCGTGCTTTACTTCAACATACCGCAGTTAAAAAATGCTAAAATGTCAAGAAACTTTCTCGGTACAAAATGAAGCATATTTCGAAACAATTATTAACAGCCTCAAATCCTCCTGGTGAGAGGTAATATACGTAAAGTACTTTTTTTCATAGTTGATCTGAGAAACGTAAATAACAAACATAAATATTCCAACATCAGTTTTACAAATAAAATAACATTTTATCGATTCAAGGAATTCAATTACTCAAGCTATTAGCTCATAAAGTAAAATCAGTTAATGACTGAGATCACTTAATAATCAATCAATTTGAAACTCATAGTGAAACTAATTTCTAACTAGTGTAGTTATTTAATTACGACATCTAAAGAGATTTCACTAACTCTACGATGTAATTTATTATTAGTATTTCACTGATAATTAAAATAGATTGTTTGGCATTTTTTGAAAATGGCTTTTCTATTCATTTTTTATTTCTCAAATATAAAATATTTTATTTATTATAGAATTACAAGTGTATAAGAGTATTTTGATGACAAAATCTTCTTAAATACGTTATTACTAATATTATAAGCGTTTATTCATGCGCCTCCTAATTCTTGTTACATCCGAAAGTATTCCATCTTCACTTGTAAAAGATTGATAAGCATCGTTCTACTCGAGTGATTCTCGTTCTTCTCACTATTCGAGATTACCGAGGAAACTTACGGAATAGAACGAAAGCAATCGAAATAGGGACACGTAATTGATAGACATGATAGGCTGTCTAGCAGTTTTGAAGATGCTTGCAAAACGCGGTCATATCAAGATGATCAAGAAAAAGATCGTTCAGGGTCAACGATGCACCGATGATACGGTTTGATCCGATTTCGCTTGTTTCGATCAACTAGTTTCCACAAGTTCGAATTGTTCTTATTAATTGTTAAAATTTACCATTCATAAATCGGACATACTTTTATAAAAAAAAAAGTATCTAAATTTTTATTGAAAAACGTAACAAAATTTGTCAACAAAGATCTGTCGTTAAGAATTATCTTTATGGTATAAGTCAGAAACTTTTATATAAAATAAGAAATAGTTTGTATTAAATAATTTATATTGTGTAACATATATAATATATAATATTATATAATAAATACATTTTACATATATAATATATAATATTATATAACAAATACATTTTACATGTAAGCTTACAAATTTGGGACGGGATTGTAACCCTTGTGAAATTGTTGTTCTCGGATGCGAAATCGAGCAGATCCGTTAGCTACAACTCCTAGGATATACGGCACCTTGCACCTATAAACTTTCACGAGCGACCCTTTACTTATCTTACTGATAAATCGTGACGGAGACATCATACGAGATGTAGGATAACGCGAGAATATATTTATCTCATATCTTCACAAATAATTATTTGTTTATGTCTCCAAGACGGATATTAAATTATAAATTAACAGCAGTGATATGGAGAAATTAAGAAAGTGTCGTGAATAATTAAAAAGAAAATGCAAAGCAAATAACAGACATATCGCCAAATAATTTATATTTTAAAATTACATTAAAAAATGTTTCGTTAAATTAAGCTGAACAATAATTGACTAATGACAGACTTGTCTAATTCACATTCTTTATATGAATATCGTTTCTAATTACGCACTTTCTTCATTAACTTCAAAAATAATAATATCGTGTCCACCTTTCTAGGCATTATTAACGTAATTATGAGACACATAAGAGACGTTTTCACTATCTAAAAATTAAGAAATAGTTTGTAACTTTCGATATTAAGAAAATAGCACTACACTTTTCGAATTTTTCAGTTTGGAACTTAAACATATAAGTATATATAATATTAGATATTAAAAAACTGCAACATGTTTTTTTTTTAAATTTTTCTGACGAGGACATCGACATGTAACTCTTTAGAAAATTTGTCATTAAGATTAACATCAAATGTAGAAGTCTACATAAAATGCATTTAGAATTAAACATATAATCAGATAATTATGCGTTTAATTTTCTTATAGTACAAACGAACTAAGAATTAAATTGATTTGAATTCTTAAATTCCTTTCAAAACAATGCAACTTTTAAAATTAGAATAAAACATCTCATATTATCTCTATAAATCACGAATTGAATAACATACGTTAGAGTTAAAGTAACTTTCAACCGTATTAAGTAACAAAAGCTCGTAAATCGTTGGCGTAACACCTATTTTTCTCTCGACGTATTCTCGCGTCCAAAATGGAGAATGTTCTAACAAAGACAGGAATTTCCCGAGCTCGTGTTAACGATTATGTCATATCTTCGGCGAGTTAGCACTGTTAATTGGAAGTCAAAGACTCAGATTTTCCCATCTCTGATAGAATATCACAGATTCCGAGATTTTAATTCCGGGAATGTATACACGCGCACATTGATAAAATCAGGACTCAAAACCGGTATAATATCGGAGAGTTCAATGCTCGATGTTGCACAGAAAGATGCATTTTACATCTTGTACGTTTCCATCATCATCAATTTAAAGATTGAGATACATATAATGCCAATCATTAATTTATAAATGTTTATAGAACATTTTTTAAATTTTACATAGAAAAATAATATAAAAATTTAATGTACAAATTTCTTGCGGTTTTACAAATGTTGAGAAAAACAGAAAAATACACGGAGAGAACAATTTGGTAGACTATTTAAAAATTTAGTTAGATACAAATATGAAAATAATTTTAAAAATAATGAAAAAATAATGAAAATAATTTTGTTGGACCATCAAATTATGTAGGACATTCGAACTGGTTGCTAGAATGTTAAAACTTTTTGTAATATTGTCATCAACGCTTCGGCATTCTACATAATTATTTTGACGGTCCAACATATTTATTATTCAGATTTGTATTTAGCTAAATTTTTAGATATATTTCAGCAAAACCGTTTTTTTTAATGTATTTTATAAATTATGGACTTTAGTTCTATTTTCCATAAAAATTTTCAAACAAAAATTCTTTATTTTTAATAGGCAAAGAATATTCAATCTTTTTTGTGCTGAAGTTAGTATTGATAAATCGTGCAATGTGTGTGTGTGTGTGTGTGTGTGTGTGTGTGTGTGTGTCGAACATGAACTCGTATAGTCCTCGAATAAATAAATGTACTTACTGAAGAAGCAGCGGTCCTCGAAGATGCGATGAGGTTTCAAAACTGATGGTCTTCCTCTTCCTGCTTTGTCGCCTCTTCCGCTGGCTCAGGACTTACCTAGAGACGAGGTGCGAGAAGAGCCCTCGAGTGCCAGACGACGATGACGACGACGACGACAACGACAAGAGAAAGAATCCCTGGCGGTGATGCTGGATCCGACGAATTGGAAATACGGGGAAGGAATGAATTGACTGACGGTCGCGATGAGCCGGTATATAGTCGGCCCACATTCCCTAGTGGTACGAGTAACCTAAATTCCTCCCACCAGAACGAGACATCATCCTCATCAGGTAGACGTTGGGTCCTCCACAGGTGGGATATACAGCCCCACCTGTGTATGCCCCGTCGTCGACGTGCGCGGTGTACACGGTTAGACTCGTACACACCGGTTCGTAAAGCGATGGTATTATCGTCCCCTTCGTCTTTGCTCCCGCCCCAAGTCGAGACCGATACTCATCGTCGTTTCGAAAACTCCTCTTCTTTGTCCCGACGATACGGTCCTCGAGAGCGCGCAATTCTGTAGCGAGGAAAAAAAAAAAACTCCGTTGAATGACGATCGTTCTGGTTTGCATTGTAAATGTCAGTTATGCAACAGTTTTGTCTATATCATTGTTGGAAATTGGCCAAATATTTAGATTATATAGTATTTATAATTGATTTTCTTCTTCCCTTTTCTGCTCCCAGGATAGTTTATCGATTCACAGCTGCAGGTCACAGTATTATACAAATTTTTCATCGGACCAAAAGGTCCTGTAGAATTGCTTCTTTGGGGAGAAAGAACGTACCACTTTTTATTATTATAAAAATAATGTATCTTTTCAACTTCTGTCAGTAATTCCTGTTAAATAATGTGCTGAATGAATTAGCATGACGTACGTTTGAATAAGATCAGTAGTCTCGTCCATTAGAACAGGTTTCCTTCAGCTTTCGTCTACATATAAGTGACGATATCATTTCGAAATCTAGATACCAAGGAACATTTAGACATCCGGCAAAATTTGGTCGAGTATCTGTTATGCAATCATCTAAAATTCAGACCGGAAACTCGAAGGAAACGTGACATGAAACGTAAAGAAGCGCAGCGGGTTTACGTACATTCCGGACAGTCGGGAAAGAACAAGTTTCTCAGAGCAACGTAATTGAATGAAAGACCTTTTAAGAATATCCCGAAGGAACTCTGATTCTTCTTCTTCTTCTTTGTCTCTCTCTCTCTCTCTCTCTCTGTTTCTCTTTCTTTTCTTTACAGCTTTTAGGTATAAATTTTATAACTACTCGCTTAACAATCGCTAATTCTATCGTCATGTATTATGACGTTTTCTTATATATATTTCTTATGTTATTACATCTCACTATATTAATGCGGACAAAGTCTCGATACTTTACATTTCTATAAGACATGCTGCGCTTATACATACACCCACAAGAAAGCACACACTCATTAACTCTTATATATGATACATATCTTATATGTTTATAGCTTATATTAAAAATTTTTTATTTTATGTATAATCCATTTTATGAATCTATTTATATATTGTTGGACACTTGAGAAGAATATATGGGAAGCATATAAACATCGATTTTCTCCCTCTCTCGTACTCTGATAAATCTTCGACTCCTGTTTAACGCATTCGGCAGTCGCCGCCTTTCGATTTATCACGAGAATTTCTAGATGGTTGTCTGAGGGAATGACTGTTATCTCGCCGTCGAGTAATTCGAAAGGCCGTGCCTCGTGACACCAAAACTACTTACACAGCCGAGACCATAAAGCGATGTGGTGACTGCGTAAGTATTCAGCAGTCAATGACAATCCCCTGAGAATCACTTCAATCGCGCGTTCAATCGAAGCGGCTACAACATCCTCATCTTTCTTCTTCAAGACTTCTTCACGATGACGTCGGGGTGGCGTCGCCTTTTAAATCACGCTTGCTGTATCCTTGACAAAAATAAAAATTCGAGTCGGACGTAAGGGGAAAGTGACAGAAACGTAAATGGATTATGAAGCTTTTAAGAGACGAAAATTAAGACAACGAAACTCTTTTACATCTTATTGTTTCAATTTTTGTCTCTTATAGAAATTTTGTTTATGCGTTACTCTTTCCTTATATTTTTTACTTATACATAATACTAATTTACAATGTACTTTTTGCTTTTTGTTTCTTTTGCCTTCTGCATCTTGTCTTTCTTTATCTTTGCGACTTTATCTTTGCGACTGTTTTACTGATAATTGTGTGTTGCTTGTCTCTTAATTTAAAGCTCGTCAATTTTTATCTCAGATGACAAAAAATTAAAGTTTTTCTACTTAAAAATACGCAATTGTACTATATACATATAAATGTACAGCTCAAAGAAGCATGTGCGAATTATTAGATTTTTATTCTAGATCTAGAACAAGATACGATATATAGTTACAAATCTGAGGTATATATTGTAATATATGCATTACAAGTATTATATCGAAATAACGTGCGTATTATTTTATTTTTACGAAGGCATATAACTGCGTTAATTAGTAATTGATGAAATATAACATTAAGCGATAGTAACATCGTATGATTTATTTAATGAGCGTTGAGCGATCAGTTTCTCTCCAGTTGAAACTGCGAGACTCATTGAGGTCTGGTGATATGGATCAATTTCATCAACGTCAATTAACCTCTACTCTAGTTTATAATTAATCATCGTTGCCCTAATTGCTTGATTAGACAATATCGCTTTCACACTTAGAATTGTTGGCTTGCAAAATTCTTGTTGCATTTTTGCAAATATAATTCTCTCAAGTCATATCTCTTATGTGTGATCAGATTACGTGTTATAAATTTTTAATTAAAAAGATCGCGTTTGACTTTTAAATATTTATTACACTTTTATTATTTATAAATGCATCTTCTATTGATTTATTAATAATAGTAATTTCATTATTACATTCTCTCTCTTCTCTCTCTCTCTCTCTCTCTCTCTCTCTCTCTCTCTCTCTCTCTCTCTTATAATTCGAGAAATAATCGATTAATTTATATTTTTCTAAATTTATTGCAATGTCACTTTGAATACAATATTATATTTAAAAAAAGAATGCATTTTTCAACACACGGTTTAATACATTTTGTTGTTTTATCATAGAATGAGGTGTGCCTACGTGCATAAATAGCAAAAGTTTTGAGAGAAATAAACCAACAAGTCATATTAACACGTAAAAATAATATTACATTAACTGAGTCATAAAGTAAATCATGATGATTAAAAAAAGTGTATAGTTGTGTATAGTTGACTGTAATAGTTGTAATATCAATTTTTATGTCATTTTTTGTCATTTTGATGTTATCATGATTTTTTGTTGAGGTCATCATATACGTAATTTTTTCTCTAGAGCGGAAATGTGAAAAATGAAAATTGTTATGTACGATATACACGTTACAACATATAAGGATCGGTCTTATCAACTCCAATTAATTTAATAATACATAACGTACAAAAAATTTTTATTTTTTGTTTTCGTGATAGTGATTCTTTCTGCTTAGGAATGTTTTAATTTGAAATTTATTATCATAATCGTTCATCGTGACGCCATCATAAAATTGTAGTTGGAACCGTCGATCAGATAAATTGTTGGTTGCATTATGTAGGTACCATAGAAATTTTTCAGCCTCACGTCGGTATTGTAGAAAGTTACAAACCTCGCAGTCGATAATAAAGTCTGCAATATACGATGTAGATTTCCTTGTCGAATTGCATGCATTTTAGCAATATAATTATATTAGAAATCCTGTGTTTTGCGTGGAGTGCAATTTTAGTAATTTGCTAAAATATAAACAATCCAGCGAAAAAAAATACTTTGTGTGCCGTTGACTTAATATTTTTCAAACCGCATCTATGCACAATATAAGTTAATAATCATCAATATCAATTCTTGCATTTTCCTGTTATATTAATAACAATCAGTGAAAAAAAAAAAAGAATACAAGTTTATGTCTTGTGTGAAACGCATTTCATAAAACCTGGCTTAATTACTGTTTCGCCCTTCGTCATAAATAATAATCGTTAATAATTGATTCATTGCTGATGACGAAAAAAATTTAATTCTCCATCATTATACCGGTGAGCCAACCGAGGGCCGAGCGGCATTCTCGTAGCCGGGAAAGCCGGGAAGACCCGGGAAGCGGCATGTCGCATTCGCCGGAAAATCGATGGCGCGCTGTCGGTCGGCCGGCGCCATTGTGCGCAGTGCGCGGCGCCCGCCGCGTTTGTCGGTATTCCTACGCATAGACCGCGTCGCGACGCTCATCCGCGGCAACCATCTAGATCTCGTACCGTACGCCTAACGATTTCGTCGCGCGTGTCATCAGATAAATCATTACGAATTCTTGATTTTTTTCAAGCGCATCATTAGAAAGTACAACGTCACGTGCGTTTTTCGCTGGAAATTCGAGTCATCGTATCGGACTTGCCAAAGTGGAATTTTCCAGACGTCGTGGCGCGGCTGTGCTTGACTTCCGGTGGCGCCAGCGACGACCGCTGTGTGTCGTCAAAGAGAACCAAGAAGAACGGAGAGAAAGAGGTGCGGTGTTGCGTGACTGGGTGCGAGCGACCGTGGCGCGTGTGTGTTTGTTGTGTTGTTAAGCGTAAACGAGTTTTACAAGATTCTCCTCGTACTCCGCTTTTTCGAGTAATACGCGAGCATAAACGCGGACGAAACTAGGAAAAACGAACCGGGTGCGGAGTAATTCGGGAGAAGCGAGGAAGAAAGAGTGAGAGCGAGAGAGAGAGAGAGAGAGAGAGAGAGATACGAGTGAGTGAGGAAGAGAGCGAGGGTGACCAGACCAGCGGGGACAACAGTAGGGTCGCCGTCCGATTGATAAAGGGATCAGCTTCGTGACGAACGAACGCCACACGATGTCGTCCTACATTCAGGTCGCCGAGGACGAGGGTGAGGAGCCGATCGAGCTGCCGACCGAGGACGACACCACGCTCCTGCTCACCACCCTATCCGCCCAGTTTCCCGGTACTTGCGGCCTCAAATACCGCAACCCGGAGTCCCGTACGATGCGCGGTGTACGATTGGTCGACGGTCGTCTGCATCCGCCCGAGAACGGCTGGGGCAAAGCGATCTACTTCTGCGTATTCCCTAAAGGTATAAAAATTTGCGCGAACGTACTCGCGTACCTACCTCCCTTCCCTTCCCTTCTCTTCTCTTCTCTTCTTCATCCCTGTGATATTTATAACGCGGCGGCGCTGTGCTCGCGGCGTCGACGTCGAGGCGACTCAACGAAATGATTCAAAACCGACCGTCATGGGATCCATCGGATCACTGCGATAACGCTTTTCTCGATCACGAGCGGGAAAGCGTCGGGATACTGTACATTACATGAGTCTCTCTTGAGACTCTTCTTGGACTGTATCCGCCGTGGTGAATCTGCCACTTCAACTCCTGAAGCAGTTGGTTGACAGGAACAACTTTTGGCTCAACTTCTTTGTTTGAATGATTATAACACTAATGTCTGTTTCTGTAAATGTCTTTAGATTAACTTTGTTCTTGGTTCAACTAATTCTTTTTTAGTTCTGTAAATTTTAACACACACACATACACAGATATATTAGTCAAATTTTAATAATTATTTATTTAAATAGTCTCTCAATAGATTCTTAACTAAACATTTACTCTTGGTAAATAAATATTTACTCAATAAAAATAAATGATAATTAAATCTAGTTATTTTTGTATCAAATAAATATATTTTTATATAAATAAATATTTGGCATTTTTCAAACAAATGATTTATTAAAAATATTTTTTTTTAGTACAGTAGGAATTGGAGCGATAAAAATAAACTAAAATAATTGTATTTTTAGTCGAAGCAGATCTTGCTTATACACAAAAAAAAATACATACTGTACAGTAATAATTACTTCAAATATCTTAAAAGTTTATGTACGTGCACATGATATAGTCACAATATCATATTTCATTAAAATGCTTTAAATTTTAGTATGTTTAAACTTCAATCAGGGTTATTAAATTAAAACAAATTCGATGTGTGTATTATATAAAGTCGCTTCTTCGATAAAATTTTATAACATTCTTTAAAAGAAAATAAATTTTTATTTTGAATTTTTCAAAAATTTATAATAATATATTTTAAGAATATTATCAAGAAAAAAATTCTTCGTTAAAGACTCACTTAAAAGAACGAAAATAAATTGAGTTATCATAAACTTTTTTTTTAGCAGTAGAATATTTTTTAGTGTGTGTGAATGCTTCCTTTATTTAACTGAGTACTTTTTGAGGTTTTTACGGGTATTTTTCATAAAGAAACTATGCGGATTAACTCCGTGTCTATATGTAGATCCATTGTTCAGTTACATTTACACCTAACAAACACCGAACGCAAATATTTAAACATTCGTGTTTGTGAGCAATTTATTCTTTCTCTCTATTGCTCCGAATACTAGCATTTGATCAGATTTGATATTCGTTGCACATAGCAATTAAACTTGTCCAACTTTTATGTAACAAATAACAAACTTTTGCATTCCTTGTTTGGTGTTCGTTTGCTACATGTATACACGGCTTTAAATTGCCAATGTTTCGTGAACATTGCAGTTCACTTAATCAACGCGAAAAGCAGCCTGAATAAAACTTTATAAGTGTGATGATTGGCTATAGGTCAGATAAATCTAAGAATCGGCAATCAATTAACAGGCTTGAAAAGCTTCGATTCTGAAATATTAATCTCAAGTTATTTCTTTCTGTGATCAAGTGAACTGCAATGTTCTAAAACGTTGACTTCTAACAATGGCTGCATTCAGCAGAAATTATTTAATCAGTGAGCGCTCAGTGATTCTTTAATATGATTGGTTCTTGCTTTTAATTTTTCCCTGGAGCTAAGTGTAAAACTGTATTATAAAGTATAAAAAAATCAACTGATCAGTTTTCTTTGCTAAATGCAGCCAATTAATTCAGGCATGGAAAATTCGCAAAACGCATAACTTTTTTGTTCGACTTGTCACTCGATATAGATACAATCTGTAGTATTAGGTCTGTTCTTTTTAACTGAACTTCTGTACAATTCATTTTTTTCTCTTCAACATAGGGAAAAAAAAAGGAAGAAAAATAAACCGTGCAAGTTCAACTTAAGAAACAGGCTCATTGTCTTTAATACAGATAAAATTAGTTTTTTTTTTCTTCTAGTGCATATAGAGGAAAAGATTAGAGATTATTAGGGAGAATAAATTCCAATTACAAATTCTGGTTATTAAATTATAAAGCGCCAATAAAGTTAGAGTTTGACCCAAGTTATCCCAAAATATCCTATTTAAAACAATTATTTCTTTAATTATATCCATCACGTTTAATAGGATGTTGGATCATTTTAGAGATACTCCTATATGTATATCTTCTTTAATAAAACTACTTCAATTTGTCTACTTTATGATGAGTATTAGCTAAATGGAATAATATTCTCATGATCCAGAAAAGTACTGCAATCAGCTGTTAAAATTAGTTTCGTCGTTGTCGAATATTAAAATTAATGTGTAATTCGAAGATCTTTAAGTTGTTTTTCTTCTTTTTTTCTCTTTCTTTTTAACAATGTTTTCCTTTATTATTATTTTTTTTTACTTTTTTCTATAAATCATTACGAGTCAGTTAGACATGAACGTCTATTATATCTTTTCAGAGAACAAACGTAAATCTGATGACAATTTGGAAAATTCCACAGCTAAGACTAAAAGAATGGAAACAAAGTTACGTTGCACTGACTTAATTGTACTTGGTTTGCCATGGAAAACAACCGAACAGAATTTGCGTGAATACTTTGAAACGTTTGGCGAAGTTTTGATGGCACAGGTAAGTTTTCGCATTTACTGAAGTTTGTGCTTGGGCTTGGAAACTAATACGGAGGAATCTTGCGTTTTTCTGCACTAATAATGTATTTAAGTTTACTAATCTAATAGATAAATAAGAAAGTTATATCACTATAACTCTTAAAGCAATACAAATATGATTTTTAAAACAATGATAACTAAATTGAAATAAATAATAAATTAATAAATAATAATAATAAGAGTAATAAATAATCTTTATTAGATAAACATTTATATATACGTTATATACACATTATATGTGACGTACATACACAATGTATGTGTATGTATTTTTGACAAGTGCAAATAATAAAAAACAGATTATTTTATTCACATAAACATAACGTTCAATATCCTTTGACTATGAAAGATCACTTTAAATACTGTCGTAGGTAAAAAAAGATGCAAAATCCGGTCAAAGCAAAGGATTTGGTTTTATTCGATTTGGAAGTTATGAATCGCAGTTGAGATGCCTTGCTCAACGTCATATGATAGATGGCAGATGGTGTGATGTCAAGGTTCCTAACAGTAAGGTAAGAACATAACTCATATACTTGAAAATTCTATAATTCTTTCTGCTACTTTTTATCGCTTTCTTGAATGTACAACAAAATCTTAAAAGGCGTTAAATCGGTGATTTAAGACATTTAGGAGCGAATAAATCATTTTAAAAGCAATTGGAGGTATCTAAAGAAAATTTTATAATTTTTGACAAAAGTTTAAAAATACTGTAATTCGTTATACATTTTTCTAACATCTTTATTTAATTATTTATCAATGAAATTCATATATTCTGATATGATTATTGATATTATGTTGTATATTTTGTTATTCAATAATACACAGTAATGTGTGTTATTGAATAATAAAATATACAACATAATATTAATGTTAATAATCAATCATTAATTATATATTACTGTCAATAATTTAAAAATAAAAATAACTATATTATGTATGTAAATATTAAATGACAATATACAAGAATTCAGATTTATTCATATGTGTTGTGTATTATAAAATGGATATTTTATATATTGTTTCTAAAATGATATGTTCTCTCTCTTTCAAGTACACCTGCCTTCAATCTGTACATATTTTCGAAAAAAAGTTATATAGCAAAATTTATAATTAAGTTACCATAATAATATATCACATTTTATATAGTTTAAGATTATCTCTTTTTTATCTCAGATCAAATCCTGATTTAATCATGTATTATCAAATGTATTATTATTATATCGAATTTATTTATTATTATTTTATTTGTTTTTATTAATTTTATTCTTTTTATTATTAATTGATTTTGCAGTACCGTTGCCTATATTATGTAATTGAATATACAATATAAAAGTGTAAGCTGCATGAATTTTATCTTTATTTTATTGACTGATAAATATCAATTTAATTAAATTTCGGTCGTTTTCTACAATGCAAAGTATAAAGAAATTCGGTCGTAATCAAGCATTAATAAGATGTTTTCATAAAATAAATTTAAAGTTTACAATGTTAGTACAGCATAAAAATAAAAATATATAAAGTATAATATAAATATATAATATAAAAAAAATAATATAATGATATCGAACATTTTGGAACTCACAGGTTCTTTTTCAGCGATTCTTGAAGATGTTACAAATCATAGAAATAAATAATCTTATATCTAAGCGTGGTATAGTGTGGTACAATTGTTTCAAAGAATTGATTCTCCTGTTTTTATGTGAATCGTGTAATAAAATGTGTGAAAACAGGAAAATCAATTCTTCGAAACAATTACACCACACTATAGACCATAAGATTATTCATTTCTATGATTTGTAACATCTTCAAGAATTGCTAAACAAGGACCTGTGAATTGGAAATGTTCGATATCATTACATTATTTTTTTTATATTTTTTAATATTATATTCTTTGTATATTTTTATTTTTATGCTGTACTAACATTGTAAATGTTATAAACTTGAAATTTATTTTATGAAAACATCTTATTAATGCTCGATTTAGACCTAATTTCTTTATACTTGAATATCAATTTGTTTTTAAAAGTTGTTTCTTCCATTAATCTTAGCAGTCATAAGAGGAAAATTTTAAAAAATAAGAAACGCTTGATATAGAATAGAAAGTAATACCTAATTTTCTAATATGTAAGGCAAATCTTTCCTATTGCTATAAAAATATGTATCTTTACATTCTAAAATATGTACAGATGTGAACACACGTGTAATATTTCAAGTAAAAATGAAATGTAGTGTGAGAAACAATCGGCTAAAATTGATAAGAGCTTACAACTATGGATATGGATAATACCTTATCTTTCTGTCTATCTCCATTTTATCACATAATGCTTTAAGCGAATATTTTCTCATATTTCTTGAATATGTTATTTTTATGTATATGAGACATATTTCGCTGTGTGGTATAAATAGGTGAATGTGCGAACGGTTATAAGTGGTGGAATTGTACAGAAAGAATGCAAAATGTCTGTATGTACGAATGTATGTTTATACGAGTGTGGTGCGTGAGCCGTGGAGAGAGCGACGTTAACGGTGTGCTTGCGTGAACATGTAAATAATATAGTATGTTTGTGTCTCTAAAACGATATGAGATCTCCTTAGGAGAGTGATTAATAGTCCTGTCAGAGGCATTGCAATGGAGAGTAAAATTATTCGATAAAAACGTATCCAACTTAACAAACTTTAACGTGTCGTGTGTTATCTTCTTCAAGATTTCTTAAAGATGGCCGAAGCTTTCGCAAGCCTCAATTATCTCAAATGAGAAAAATCCTCATATATATTATCTATCTCGAAATATCTTTACGCTGATAAAAACTAAAATACTCGCTAAATTGCGTTAATATCCCGAGTACGCGTGAATGAGACTATTATGAGGAATGTATCGCGCATTGAGAGAGCGTAATTGAAGGTAAAGATCAATATTTTCACGTTTTTGAGCGCGCGTATCTTCCTGGATACATAAAATATTGTAACGGGTATGATTTTGTGTGTTAAAGTATGTAAATGTAGAACCTTGCAGTCGCGTATGTGGAGTATGTCTCATGTCCATGTCTATCAATAGAATTTAATTTTAATCTCGGTTTAATTTACTCTTTTTCTAATTTTTAGAACTAAAAGAAGATAAAAAGCAAGTTAAACCGAGATTAAAGTTAATCTGATAGAAATGGACATCAGCCGTGAACCAATTCCTTAGATCCGAGAATCTCTTTGCGCGAGCTACCGTGATACGGGAACGATGCTTCTGACAAATTTTGTGAGATCCGCGATGCGTCGTACGAGTAAAGTCTCTCCAGAACGTGTGAGGTTACGTGGAAAAGATTTTGGCGAGGCGATTCTAGGAAGAATGCGTAATCATGAATGAAAAAACTCGCGAATGAATGGTGCAATAGCTCACACGTCGTCGTGTCACGTTTCGCGGAATAGATTCTGCGCTGCGAAACCATTTACGTTTGCGTGTTCCACCGTCATCGGCGGAGTATCAACACGTATTCGAGTACTGTAAAATGTAGTAACTTTGACTCAAAATTGGGATAAAATACTTTGATTCAAGTTTTGATGATGCACATGTCAAAATCAAAACGCAGACCGGTAATTGGTTTTTGTTTCGAGACTATTTTAAGCTAATATATTGATAATAATACGTTAATAGCCTATATGACTGTCTTGTTTTATGATAATATAATAATGTAATAAAACTATACTTACATACACGTGCGCTTACGCGCACACACAACGGCCTGAAATATAACATACTATTGTATGGATCGTTACTTAAGCTTAAATCGCAAAATTGATCAGTCGAATGTAAAAAAAATTATCTATTGATCAATATTCATAATCCGTTTTTATTTTAAGATCGTCTTAAGTAATATCTTAATGCTAATTCGGCTCTCTAATTGATTCATGATATCTTAAGATTATACTTAAGACAATCTTAAATATAAGAATCAACTATGAGTACTGGCTATAATTTACTACCATTAAACATCCTCAAAACGTTTTAAGATGTTTTATATATATCTATTGATTGAATATTCGCGTTGTGTCTAGACATTTTTTAAAATTTGAGTCAAAGTTATCTTGACTGAGCTAAAATTACCCCATTTTACGTGTACATAATTAGAGATGTGTGCCGCGTTGTTACGGAGCGTTGAGCGGAGCGAATGCGTATGTGTGCTTCAGCATTACGATCAAGTCTGTATGTGATTGTCGAGGGCTGGTGTAATCTGGTTGCAGAATATTGATGGATTAATGATGGCACGTCAGTATGATACGGGTAAGCACGGTAACGAGTGCTACCGACCTATACCGGTGCACACACCGAGTAGTCGCCGAGTGCCGGCGTCGAAGCCGTACGTAGCCAACGTAAACTCGTCATCCGAGGCCACTGCTCCACCTCCGAGCGCGCCACCCCCGAGATACGACTCGGAGTATGATTACAAAACCACTCACTACCCGTCGTATCCCCCGAATTATCCTTACGATGATAACAAATACAAGTATGAAGGCGGTGGCGGTGGTGGTCAACAACAGGCCGCCTACAACTCCTACAATGAGAAGCCAAGCTACGCCTATGAGGATCCCGCCACTTATGATTCTCGTGGCTACATGCCGCCACCGCATGCAAACGTTGCCGCGGCGCCCGCTAATCCCTCGTATCCCTCGTCCGATGCGGAATACGGCTCGCGGTACTACAGCGAGGGACGTGTCGTTTATTCAGCCGACAACTGTCCGGAGCAGTACGATAAAAGCAGGTACAATTACGGGTACGATCAAAGGTGCTACTACGATCAGGCTGACGGCCGTTATGCCGTCGCTGCAGCTGACTGCAGGTACGAAGTGCGTTATTCAGATGGGAGACATCCGGACAGCCGACATCTGCCGGTCGATCCCAGCCGGGAAGCGGATTGTCGATACGTAGACAGTCGTGAGATGGACAGAAGGTACGTCGATGGTAGGGAACCAGTGGATGGCAGGTACGCGATGGACAACCGCGAGGTCGATGGCCGCTATGCTGCTACATCAGACGGCCGCGATCTAGTCGACGGTAGATACGCTGATCCATCGAGATACCCAACGAAAGAGAACTATTACGATCGCTATTACAAGCACCGGCCATCGAGGGATCACCATGTCGCAGATACGTCAAGATACTGAAGAGAAAACTCGTAATTAAAATCAATCATGTTTTAATGGGAATAATAGACTATGTCGCAACGACGATGATATTTTCTCTCAGGATCCATTGCACATTCCACGCATCTACAGGCACATATTATACCACGCATCTACGAGCGCTATGAATGTTGATATTATTGTTACGTATTGTTTGCAACGTGTTATTTTGATGGATTTCTTTGATATCGATACAAAATTTCATACATAAAATGTGTTAAAAATTTGTGTGAATGAATGTTGGAAAGTATTCAGTATGTGGATGCAGTTTATTGAAATATTTATTTTATATAATTATATATATACACGTAAAATATTAGTCATTTTAATTGAACGTTTATTAATATTTGACATTTTTGAGTTATCAAATGCTTTTTTACTGTTGCGTTCATGTCACACACAAAAGACAGTCAGGACAAGAGGCAAGAGGCGAAATTTCTGATGATTAACATTTTACTGATTTATTTTCTTTCGTGTTATTTTGAATTTTATTAATTTATTATTGGTATGAAAAATATTAGAAGATGATCACGAATTATTTTAGAAATATCGAAAATAACGAAAAAGATGCGTGGTATAATTCTTAAAACATTATATAAATTTTTCTTTTGTATCATTGATATTTTCAAGTCTTCTAATTTTAAATACATATGTACTATATACATTATTATATTTTATTCAAACAATAACATACATTGTATATTTTATGACCTAAAGTGTCTATATTGTGCATTTTAAAAATCGAAGTTTAAACATTTATTTAAGACAAGGATATATATGTAATAGCATAAATTATATAAGTTCTTTTACAAAGTAATTGTAATAATTTTAGAAAATATAATATTTCTTCTGTACCAATTAACTCATCTTATTTTGTGTATCAAATTAAAAAATTAATAAAATGTTACATATTTTAATAAAATGTTACATATCAAGATTTGAATAAAATACAAAATTAGTGTAACATATGAAATGCTGATGTAATTATAAATAGCTTTTATATGAAGACTGACTAGAGAAGTGGTATTATGTAAAAAAAATTATACGGTACGTTTAAAATTATAAAATGACGTTTAAATATCTCAAAATACTTAATTTGTTATATCATATTTCTTCTTTAAAATTATGAGACTTTGTTGAAAATATTTCTTGATAACTACGCACAATAAAAGGATAATTTAGGTTTTAAAAATATATAATTAATTGAGTAAATATTAAAGAAAACAATATTTATACATATATACATATATATATTCCCATTAATTCATGATGTTTGTTAAATATAACAGATATGTTGTCTAATGGTAGAAATAATTAGTCTGGAATATAATTGTTCACATTTTATCAGATACGTGCTTATTCAAATCAAGACAGTGTAATGTAGCATGAGATTTTCTCTACATTGTGAATATAATGAAACAGACATTGTACAGATTGATGCATGGATTTCAAGTGGTCATAGTGCTTAAGTGTTCATTATATAACATATGTGTATTTACATATAAAAAATCGAGCCAACCGGCGTCTTTTTTTGAACCGACAGATAATAAATATTTAAGAATTTTATATATAAAACTTGACGTTTAGTGCAGATTAATTGCAATCGACGGAACATTGTTAGAGTACTAAGCCGGAAGCGAGAAGTTTCATACTGCGTCTCTACGGAACATTGTGTGTAATATATGCATGTGATACACTCGATGTAAACTATAATGTATCTATGTTACGTATTGTCATTCTCTTGACGAATGCTACACATCTTGCAGCGATTTCTACCGCCGCCGGTATTGTGAGTAATGTGCACTGTACGCAAGTTTTACTTGGATACCCGTGAAAACCTCGTACATATTTGATATAACGTTTTTTTAGGAAGGAATGATACAGCAAGTCCCCTGCAAGGTTTTCGTCGGCCGCTGCACAGAAGATCTAACCGCGGACGATCTACGAGATTATTTCTCCAAATTTGGCGAAGTCACGGACGTTTTCATCCCGAAACCCTTCCGCGCGTTTTCGTTTGTCACTTTCTTAGATCCTGAGGTCGCTCAGTCGCTCTGTGGCGAAGATCATATTATCAAGGGTGTCTCGGTACACGTCTCGAATGCCGCGCCCAAGTCCGAGGGAAACAATAAAAATTTTAATAATCAAGTTAACTCGAACATGAGGGGCGGCAGGGGCGCGCCGGGACCCGTCGATAATAACGTCCAGGGCAATTATCAGGGTAACCGTTATATGGGTCATTCGGGCAACAATATGGGCCCGAATGGCTGGAACAATCCGGGGAATCGCGGTAATCTCGACATGCCGAATCTACAAGCCCTTGGTATCACCGGTCAAAACAACGGTGGTGGTGGTGGAGGCGGCATGTCGAATCCGCTGGCGATGGGTGGTCTGAATCTGTCTGCGTTGCCGGTCAATCCGGCATTGGTGGCCGCTGCTCTGAACCAGGCGTCCTGGGGTCTGATCGGTAATCTGCAGAACCAGGGAAACGACCAGGGTTATTCGAACCAGCCGGGCCCACCGGGCCAGCCGCCCTCCGGTAACAACAGTATTGGTAATAGCGGCAATTCTGGCTTTCTCAGCTGGATGAACCAAGGCGGCGGCGATGGCAATACTGGCAATCCCGGCACCGGCGGCCCCGGGCCGAATAACCCGAACGCGTCCCAGGGCGCCTGGCAGAATCACCCGGGTCAGCGCGACCAGAAGTCGAATACCTTTCTCAAGTACGAGTAAATTCAATCGGGGCCGTGGGTCTACTCGTAAAACCAAACGGATCCTCCATCCACGGGTCCCGATACAACAACCATAACGAACGGTGGTAACTAATGAGGTCGACAGTTTTCCAAAAATGCGTCGACCTCGGAAAAAGATTAAGAGCCAGAGCCTATAGTATGTTGACGTTTTTTCTAATGTTTTGCACTAATCGCCACTGCGTGTATTATAATATTTCGAGACCTTCCCCACTCTCTTATTGGTTTGACAAATTAGCACAATTCCGTTCGTTTAGGTTTACAACAATCGAAGGCGGATAGCTTCGATCATTCAAATATATGTGCGCGATTTTTGCGTCACTCTCTGAGGTGTGAGCGTCCGATGAATAGTAGCATGATTAAAATCAATACGTATGAAGTTGATGTATGAGGAGCTTAGCTGTACAATGATGAGATTGATCGATCGAATACATTTATTGCTTAGCATAATAATTGGTAAACTTGTAATTTACATGTACAAAGATACCTGACGAGATCTGAGTCCTAAAAAGATTTCAGCTACTTCAGCATTTATTAAACTCAGTGAAATGTGTACTAAAATAGTCTTACTCAAAAAGAAATAACTACTACACAAACATGAAATTCTACGCATTCTCATTTGATATTAGTTTAGATTCCGAAATTGCCTAGTCGCAGCAAAGATAATGATGTCCCAGTACAGTTTTCAAATCATACCTAAGTCTAAAGAAACAATAAAAATGTTAATAATCAAGTGAACTTTGACGAGGGGAGTTACATCTGCATTATTCTTTCATTCTATTTAAGTATACATTTTCTTAAATAGCAATTAATAAATTATTGGAAAATCGGAAGTAGCTAAAGTTTTTTTTCATCGCAAATCTCTTTAATAGAGGGGGCTTTAGTAAATACTTAATAGTATTTGTTGAGCTGTTTTGGCTTTCTCTATACGACCACATTTTTTTATTTAATTATAATTAAATTTTGTCTCCTTGTCTACGTCAAAAATGTAATGTAGGAGGAGACTAGATTGATCACCTTAGTCACAAGAACAAAGTTAGTAACTAACTAAGGCAATCGATCTAATGGGTGCAATGTGGTAATAGATGATACCTAGTATCATGAGACCAAAGCCAATTATATAATTTGTTGTAACGAATCGAGAACCATACCGAATTGCTAGACGTTATTTGTAAAAAGCGTAATATGTAATACAATGTATAACTTGCCATTGAGTTTTCAAGCTGTTTATAATATTTCATATTTCTTACGTATTACTTTTTAACGATAGATCTCTTGTTTATTTTAGAAACATAATTTTTCCTTGGTATATTCAAGAGATCTACAATTACGAATTTTGCTGCTGCGAGAATAGACAGTTTCATTTAAATCAGAGTACTTTGATTAAAACTATGCAGTCGTTTTTGATATTTTTAACTTTCGTTATATCCTTTAGCAAAATATTTGGGAAGCAATTTTATTTCGTTCTATATAATATCACCATTGTACGAGCGGATAGTAAGAATATTATGAAGAAAAAGATACATTTTCATGTACAAAAATAATTGACATTAAAATAAAAAATTAGTATTTATTCATTTTAGATTTTAAGTGAATAGAAATTTTTTTGGTGTGGTTCTTTGTTGAAACAACATCTTATTCTATTTTGCAGCATTTTTTATCTGCAAAAGATTATCTAAAATATTAAGATTTTCAGAAGGAGCGTACAAATTACGAATGATATGATTGCCTGAGAAAGAGAGAGAGAGAGAGAGAGTGTATGTATGAGTCAGAATAGCTCGCAACACACCTAGAGAACACTTGATCGCAGCTATCCGTATTGTATATTATTATCGATTTGAACTTATGTTTCAAATATCTAAAATGTAACACATAAATAGCTTATGTGAGAATTTTACATTAGTGTGCAGGTGTGTCAAAATTATTGATCGATTGTGTGTGAAAGAAAATTGTTTGAATCGTTTGATCAAATTTTTCCATTTTAATTGAGTGATTTGAAAAAAGAAACGGAAAGAAAAGCTGTTTAAATGTCTTATATGTCTGTGTATAATGTGTCATAAGTTTTGAATGAAATATCCTTGATGAAAAGACTTTTGAACTGTTTCCTGATTGAACGATAATGAAAAAGATAGCTTTACTGGTCGAGAGTATTTATTTTTCAAAGAAAGAAAGAAAGAAAAAGAAAGAGTCATAACACGAAGAAGGATGCAATTCACATCTCACAATTATAGTCAATAACTTTAACATACGAAATAGTATCGCAGTTAAACTTAAAGACCGCATTCGACATCGCGATATCACTGTATACCACGTTAAAAGAATTATTTAGATTGACTATTTCAGAGAGTACACTAATTATCTCTTATGAGTATATTAATTGAAAGAATAAAAATATATAATCCTTCTATATAAGAGATGTATGTACTGTTGTGCTTTTTATTTTATCGTACAGTGATTTCTCATCAGTTTCCTTCTTTTGAACGCGATATAACTACTTAATATACAATTCTAATGATAATACTCTCTCACTCTTTCTCTCTCATTAGCGTGAATTCTCATCGATATGCGTGTCGCGTGTATAGATGAGAAACATCTCCTCTAACTTTGAGAATGTCAAACTGGATTGCTCGATAAGCACATGTGTGTATGACGGTTGAATGTATTTGTTAATGGTCGTCTAAGAACTACAGGCGTGAGTTTTTATTACTAGCAAAGTGATAATGTTGTCTGTTTAGAGCACTGAGAACGCGTGTACTTGGCGGAGCGAGATGAAAAAATGAGATGACTGAGTAATATAATGCATAAGACGAACGGGAGATTACTGCGGTATTAGATGAGAATGAGCAAAAGTCGTCCAGTATGTATTTGATACATATGTAGATCGAGAGGAGGTTGTTTATATACGTAGCGTATGTAAGAAAGCTAAATTATATACACACAAATTTCAATGAGGAGAGATAGACGATGTGAAATTGGTTGATTGCGCATTCTGCCACGCTATTAAGAGAGAGTCTATAAATTGTTAAATCGATCTACATAGAAGCTGTGGTTTGAGACAACTTTTAACAGACACTGGAACCGTACCAAGCTTGTCACTGAAGCACGAATGTTCGCACTTTAATCTCCTTAATTCTGAAAATATTTTCAGGGAAAATGTAGTTCCTTACGATACGAGAAGTAAAAAAAAAAAAGTAGAAAGAGTAAAATAAAACTTGTATAAGAGGTAAAATTAAATCATTGATGGATAACTATACAATGGATAATAATTGATTGATTAGCTTGAACATTCGTGCGTGAGTCGTCGCGATTATAGATCTACGTGGTCTGACAATTATATTTGTAGATGTAACTCCTTTTATGTTGTCATCTAGATAATGTTGGAAACACGTTAAATATGCAGTCTCTTTTCACTTTATACTTTCTTATAAGTTCAATTTTAACAACGAAACTTGTATTAAATAATCATTGTTGAGCAATTTAGAAAAAAAAAAAAACAGAATCAATACTGGTTTTCTAAAAAAAAGAACGAAAAAATTGCGTATAAATGTCGTAAAATAAGGCCCTATTAAAAAAAATATAATATATACAATTTACACTTAGAAAAAAACCTGAGCATTTTTATCATCTCGTTTGTTAAACAAATGAATTGTATCCATATGTTTGTATAGTATTGTATCTGTACGTATTGTATATATTTTTAAGTAAATTTTGCCTATAGATTTAATTGTCAGGCTATGTATTTCAAATCGTTTGAAATAGCAATGTCTATGACACTATTAGCATCTTCTCGTAAATCCTCAATCAGTGAATTTTTCGTGCGAGATGAGTGTCCACTGCTCAAAGGATGCCTTGAAAAACGATTTGGAAGTGATCTATGAAATATGTAAATACGGATTGATATAAAGCAATTTTAATATCGCTCACAAAATGTAAACGAATTTTATTGTAGAGTTAGCTGCGCTCTGTAAATCGCTCGATATTGTTGTGTCCTGAGAGAGGGAGAGAGAGGAAATGAGATGAGGCTGCGTGACGAATCCGAGACGTGTGTCGTGAAACGTTGTCGTGTGAGAATGTTGATTTTGATCCGTCGATCTCGCGGTTGTTAGGGGGGATTCGAGCCGCGTCGTAGAAGAGCGCGTGGTGAGAAGACCGTGATTCCGGCATTCTTTTACACTTTTGAGATACTCAAACTATACAAACGAATGTGAATCGAGATTACCGTGGATTTTTTACGTGTGAGAACGATCCCATGATTTTTGCGCGTGCCGCAAAATCCCTGTCGAGCAAAAGAGAAAAGCGTCCTCTTGTCCACAGCAATATGCTGCGCGAAAATCTTATAGATGTGAATATTAGACGATCGTGGCATTACGTTTCCTAATCGTGCTGACGGTTTTGCTGTGAAATTGTAAAGCGTTTTCCGAGTTCGTCGAGTTGATGCGAGAATACTCAATGCTCTCCGTAACAATCTCCGTTGATTGTAGTGTATGTTAAATTATGCCGAGAATAAAAGACCCAAGCATCGTGGGGTACCATAGCTTCCTTTAAATGCGAGTCAGCGATGCACAATTACACATCTGCTGGCTTGTCCCAGAATTGGTAGAAGACGGATGTGCTTACAAAATTTGCACTCCTCAGTCGCTTATGTGCCAACAACTTTAGATTATAATGAAATCATGATCAATTTTCATAAGCTAGTAAAAATAAATCATTTTTTGCGAATTAATTGTGTTTTCCAGCAAGAGACAGTGATTATAACATTATTTCATTTTTTTTTTCAACATTAACCATCAACAAAAATGTAAGAATTTAATGTATTGTGTCATCTTTGTCTCTTATTGGAAGGCTCCCTCAAGTCTCAGAAGATAAGAATGAAAGTCATCATCAATCGTTAGATTTCAAATAGATCTTATCTTCAACAGAATTAAATATTGAAACTGATATGTCAACTCTTGCTTTTGCCAAGTTGTGAAGAACGATAAGATCTGTGGTATTTTTGTCACACCAATTCTGAGACAGTCAGGGCCTGTATTCTGTATATGCCTACCGATAGTTGTCGATGTCGTTATGTGTCGTTATGCAAATACTTTATATAGTAAAAAAACGACACATATAATTAGCGACACCGATAATTATTGGTTGGCGTGAACAGAATACAAGCCTAGGATATCTGCCCAGTCCAAAATTACCAACGTTACAAGATCAATGTTTTGATTAGAGGTGCAGCGGATATTTGGCAATTCTTACCAGTATTCTAGTTTTAATATAATATGTCCTCTCTCGGACATGAAAAAATATTTAATTTGTTCTACATAATCTGATATAAGTCGTAACAAAGCTACTCTCGAGATTTGCGTGTATAAAGTCCTAATATTTTTACAACTTTGTTCACTTTATCGACTTCGTTAAGGAGCAGGTCGCGCGTTTAATTAAAAGCGATAAATAGGGTGACATTTATAATTGTAAAACTGTAAAATGCGAGTGGGAGAGTTTGAAAGGTAACTGACAGATCCGCCGGTAGCCGGTCTTCCGGCGATGGCTGAATGAAGACGATGACTGAAGGTAAACGTAAGACTACGGAAACGTCCGCTGATCCTCGAAACAGGTGATTACGATCTGACATTATTTCTCTTTCATGACGCCTCACCATCATCAACGATAAAATAGAATAATCATCTTCATCAACACTTTGGCTTTCTGCAATTTTCAAAGAATTAATTTTCGTCTACCGTTTTTTTTTATTTTCTTTTCTAACAAGGGAAGTTCTCGAAATGTCAAATTCTGATTTTAATGAAACTTTGTGAACTTGTAGCTTACATAAAGAGATGGATTTAGAAAATATCAGTTGCTGTCAAAACAATTGTTTCGAAAAAAAATATTAATACAAAAAATTGTTAAATAATTATTCTAAAAACGCGAATAAATACAGCTAATTTTGTTATAAAACTTTTGTATAAAATATTTTTTATATCTCGAATAGTTTTCGAGTATAACGAAAAATGCTGAAAACCGCTGTACACGTGTAAGAGGTGATTTCACTCCTTCAAATCGTTTTTTGGTAGTAACTGATATTTTCTAAATTCATTTCTTTATGTAAGCTACAAGTTCACAAAGTTTTATTAAAATCAGAATTTGACACCTCGAGAGGTTTCCTTGTAAGTCATCATTTACGCGTTCGCAATATTTTTTTTGCTAAAGCAAGAAAATGACCCTGCTAATTGCATACATCTTTTGGAACTTGGCCTTTCTTTCGAATGCCTTGCGTGTTCTCTTCTGTAATAATGTTATCGAAATGAATTTTTTGTTAAAAAGGAAGAAAAATAATGCGGTAAATGTCGATTAACTAGTACTTATTAAATTATTTTTCTTGTAAAATACGCGGTATTTGTTTCTTAAATATTTGTTTACTAATAAATAAATCTCTCAAAGAATGTCAGATGCCAATTTTTCTCAAATTAATAACAGATTTCTTTATACTTAAAAAATATAAGAAACAATTGTAAACAAAAATTGAGAAAAATTAGCGTCTGCAGACATTCTTTAAGATTTATTTATTAGTAAACAAATTATATTATAAGTTTTCTTGAGAATCTTTATGATATATATGAAAAGTTTTTTTAAATATAATTTAGCTTGATGATTTTGAAGTTCATAATCTTTTTCGTTCTCCAAAAGAATGAAAAACCGATGAGGATTCCCCGCGTTTGTTAATTTGGTGTTGTTGCTTTGCTAAACAAGTTCTATCTCTCGTACAGAATTACACGTGATTCATCATTGCTTTCTTTAACGTTTTGAAAACACATTTTGCCATGACACGCGTTCAATCCGCGGCCAGTTAACAATTCTCACAGATCACCAACGAGGCGGATAAGATTGCAGGCACACTTTTCGCACGTTCGTTATCTTAGAGTGCGTACCATTGCACGCATTATGCTTATGATGTATCCTATCACTTCATCATTTATATTCTTTAATATTTGATGACCAACAATGATAAAATGATACATCATGTACATCATGCGTGAAACGGAACGCATCCTTAGTCGCGAGCCGCGTGCGAGAGCCATGGAGCTGAGGTACCAACGAGATTTCGGGAAATGTGAGTCTCTGTTCTCTGTTTGAAAAAAAAAGAAAAAACCAATCACACACATACACTACGGCAGTGTTTATCCCATTTCTCGTCCATCCTGGAATAGGACCATCCATCGAGAGGCACCAGAGAGTTGGAATGTTAGTACTCTTAGTAGTTAGTTTGGTCCCTTCCCTCAAGTACCCGGTAAACACCGGACACTAATCCTGTACGATTCTGTTCAACAGCCTGGGTGAATATGTGGATGGTTGATATCCGTGAACGTACCTCTTGGATGGAACAAAAAAAACGAACGAGCAAGTGTTGGCAAGTTTTTGAGATGCAAGTGGTGGAAAGACGCGAAAGAGCGAGCGAGCGAGAGAGAAAGAAAGAGAGGTGAAAGGATCTGAAGAGTAAAAGGGGAGAGAGAGAGCGAGAGAGGAGTATATATTTTTGCAGGCTAATAGAATTTGGTGGGATGATGATGATGATGATGATATAATAATAATAATAATAATAATATTAATAATAATGATGATGATGATGATACACTGCGCCGAGAGAAGTTGCTAGACAAGTGTGGAGCGAGTGCTTTTTTGAAAGCGTGAGGAAATTTTTTTCGTAAGCGTGACTGCGAAACACAACATAAGTGAAAGTCGGGTACCCCCGCTAGACGATTTAATGTCTTAACGCGGTTTTGCTTTCAGATTGTGAGAGCGTACGTCGCGATCTGTGGCGGTGGTTGATCACAATTTAATCCGCACTTGCTCTCGCGAAAGAAGAGACAGATAGAACACCTGAGGCAGACGCGGACGTAAACTTACGTTTGGAAAAGTCTACTTAATTTTGAAGAGGTATACTGGCTTGAACATAACTGATACAAACTGAGGACAATGTGTGCATGATTAAAGTAATTATTACTACATTACCGTATAACTTAATTTTGTTCTGAGTTAAGTTTTAACTGTGATTTGAATTTTTAACTCGACTTATATTGGCAAACATTATTGAAACCGAATACTATATTATTCGTGTGTTAAATATATAATAAAAATATTATGCATAATGATTTTATTTATTATTTAATTTCTCTATGAATAAATTATATATTTATTGTATGTAATTTTTTAATATATGGTCTATTAGATAGAAATTGTAATAATTCGTAAAAGTTATTTTTTTTTTAAATTAACGCAAATACTTTACATATAAAAATAAATTTTATTTATTTTGTTTCAGATTCAGTTATCTATTGAACGTCGCATGTGAGGAGTTCCAGTATAATTCACGAATATATGTCGAACATTAAAGTAAAAAAGTCTATCTACAAATTAATTACTTGAATATATATCTATATATATATACAATATATATATATATATGTATATTGAAAAATCCAATTTTGTGTATGTGTGCGTGTGTAATTAAATTTTTTAAATAATTCATGAAATTTCAATACATGCTATTTTTTATTTAATCACATTTTCCATTTCCCTCATACTTCAACGATTTTTGAGAATTTAAATTATCTTAATTCAAAATTTCACATTTAAAATTATAAAAAATGTACATTTTGTTGCGAATTAAAAATTTTAAATAATCTTATTTGGATTTATATATTTTTAATGTTTTATTAATTTTTAAGAATATTTAGATGTCATAATTTTTAAGATTTTCAATAATTGAAATTGTTTCGTATATTTCCATTTACATTTTCCTGAGATTTAAATTTTTGCCGATAATTAACGTCTGTAATTATAAATCGCACATATAGTTCAATCGCATTGCTGAGTTTGTAACTTTTTACTGATAGTCGGAAAATACCTAATTTGAGGCCGCGTTTTTCTCAATTATCCAGCAGAAATTCATTTTACCGGCAGATGTAGAGCTTCTTAGCGAGCGAGCGAGAAACGAGTGCAGACTGTAAACTGCAGAGGTGATGTCTCGCGCAAGCGAGTCGCCGAAGACGTCGCTGTGACGTTTTGGCCGTTTCTTGGGTTTTCTTCTTCGTTCCGAGCGTTTCGAAATTCGAACTTTGAAGCAGGTGCATCTGTGGTGGTATGGTGGCCGAACCATCGTGTGTGCGCCAGATCCATCGATTTAACGGGAACACGAAATAAGATGCAACGTCGTCTCTCCGTACGTCACGCGTCCGGCTGTGTCGACAAGCTGATGACACTGAGCGCGATCGCGAGCAGGATCGTCGGACGTTAAGACGTTATGGAAAGATGGTGAGGCAGCTCGATTACCTCGGCCACTGGGAGCATGGGTTCGCAAACGCTGGAGATCTTGAGGCAGGGCGTCTGGGCGAGCCTAACAGGCGGCTGGTTTTACGATCCTCATCTCGATATTTTCTCCAATACGTTCCATCTTTACATCTGGTTGTTTCTACTTTGCCTGCCGTTCACGATCTATCTGGTAAAAAAAAAGAGAAAAAAAATGCAACATTCCGTTTTTTTTCCTCTACGTTTGTGCAGCCGTTTATTTTGGAATTTATTCAAAGACAACTTGTTTCCGCAACTGTTATTAAAATAGTATAATAATATTTAACATTTGAATTTATAACACTTATAAGAAACGGCTGATTGCCAACCTGTGATTATTTAAGACGCTTATCTAATGCTATAAATACATTTTTTTACTATCCTTATTCGCAAAAACTTTGTTGCTTTTCTTTTCATAGCAGTTGCAGAAAAGCAAGTCTGTGTTAAGGAGAGTTTCGTGTGTTTCAGTATTTCCCTCCTACTTTATACGTTTGGCTGGCATATTGCTCGTCATTCGTCGCTGTTTTTGGAACAATAAAGTGTGTGAATCATGCTCTGCACTGTGTATATGATACCACGGAATGTCTAGAGGAACCCAATCAAACTATCAGTCAACAGAAATCAGAGGGTGAGAAGAAATGGGCGAGCCATAATAAGTCCAGGGAACAGTCACAAGATCAAACTAGCCATGGCATAGAGCTGCAAGTTTTGAATGGTACCTATGCTGCATGATTCATAATACTAATCAACTCGATGACATCGTAATTAGGTTTCTATGAATAAGTGGCATACATTTTTATAAAATATCATTGTGGTAATGTGTAGTTTACAAAAAATAATGAGACTATTTTATCTTAAACTAATTAAATTTCTTCGAAAACTTGTTTTATTCCTAAAAAATTCTTGAAATATGAAATTCTGAAATGATTCACCACTCACTTCATAAATTTCTTTACTAACAACCTTCAAACTTTTCAAACTTATAAAATCTAGGTGTATGTAGAATGAAATTAGAATAGATTAGGTAGCCCGTTGTTATTGTAGGATTTCAAGTAATGTCTTTAGATGGTAATATGGTTTTGTATAATCTTAAGATATCATAAACTAATTACAGAACTAAACCAGCATCTTTTAAAACATTACTTAAGATGGTCTTAAAATATGAACTAACTATGAATACTTGATCTATGATTGGTTTATAACATAAAATTTTTTATACTTAAGACTATTTTTAATATAATCAACTATGAATATTTACGAATTTTTTATGAAAATCGATTTTTCTTAGATAAAACCTTTTGCATTATGCTATGAAATCAAATATGTTATACAATATAATTTATAAAATTGTGTAAAATATAATTGAAAGAGTCTATTTAGGAAATTTACAAAGAACTGTTTTATTTATACTATATTTTACAGAACCATATTTTCTATCTCTAATGATGAGTTTAGTACATTTAATAAATAAAATTATTATGATATAAAATATTTTATTCTGCTTAATATAAAATTTCTCATTTATAATATATAATTTTCAAACGTTATAATATTTTTCGTGTAAATTTCTGTTCTTTTATCATTATAATTTATCATTCATATATCAAAACTGATATATGAATATGATAAATTGTATATGTTTGAAGACAACTTTTTTCACTGTATATTTTTCATAATCTGTGCTTCTAGGTAAAACAGACACACCACCTGTAGAATGTTCATCACGCAACTCGTTTATTGAACAAAATATACAGAATTCTGACGCAGATAGTATAACATCTGAATATACTCGGGATAAAGCTAGTTCTACCATTGATTTAAAAGTAGAAATACATAGGAAAAACAGTTCGGAAAGCTCGGAAGAAGCCCAGCAGCTTAGTAAACCAATGATAACTAGCATCAATGTGCATGAAGCTGAATTAGTTTCTGCACAATATCACGAACCACGTTCTAAGAATATTATAAATGGTAATTGAGTGTTCTCTTAACTTATTTAATAGTATATGAAACGATTAAAATAGAGAAATAATTACAATTAATGCTTATATATAGAATGGAAATTAAAGAGGCAAAAGTGTGTGGTAATAGCAGAGGAAGATCGACCGCGTAAATTATGCCGGCATTCATCTGAGGAGTCCAGAAATCGACATTCGAAGCAAAGCAATCTCGGTAAAACAGGATCCGAGAGCCAGATAAAGCAAACCAGTTCGTTGGAATTGACAAATCATCGTCATATCGGCGACGATTATCCATACTGGATGTTAAATCGGAGCATTCGCAGACTCAACTCCAATTCCATACCGAAAGCACGTTTGACGAATGATCATCCACAGAGTTTAGAAATCATATCAAAGAAGGGAGATGCGGATAACAATAAGATCTCGTCTCATCCACAATCATTAGAGGTAAATCTCCCTTACAAATCTTAAAGTATATTAAGTGAAAAAATTAAAACAATATTAAGGAAGAATCACATAGTTGAATGTAATTTTTAAACGACTTGTTTCTAGCAAGCATTAATAATGAGCATTAAAAAGTGTTACATTAATACTTTGTAATATAAAAGTATTATTTTAATTCAAAGGTTATTCCCAAGAAACCGTACCAACAATTAGTACATCCGCAAAGTCTCGAAATAATTGGTGCTACCAGTAAAAACATAAGTAGTACCGACGACAATAATCTGCCACTTCATCCCCAGAGTCTTGAAACAATTAATACCAAAAAGGTATGAGCATTTTGTTTCATGAAATATTTTGTTGCAACTGTTTTTTTTCCACAAAAGATGCATATTTTCTGAATAAAAACGAAATGTTGAAGGTCTTACCACAAAACACACTGAAGAGAAATCAACTACAGCTACAGCTCTTACCGTACCTTAGTTTCGGATCCGAGATAGTTTATCCGATAGCGGAACAGAGCGACGAGCAATTTGCTAATGAAAGTTCAGAAGAATTCAGCCTTTGCGATTCCTATAGTCCACTATTGACGCGAAAAAACATAAATGATGCGAGCGCTACATCTACTCGAGACAGAAGTCTTAGCGCTGGCAGATTTGAAGACAGATTCTCGAGGTACTAATGTATCATTAAATATAATTGTAATGCTCTCTCTAATTAAATATATCAATACAATCTTATTCACGTTACCATTATTTTTTAGATTTAATGACGACAACGGAATAGATAATAACTCTGCAAATTCTCGAGATGCTTTATTAGAAGAGTCCAAATCTAGAGGAGTGAAAAGGAAATACAGCAATGCCAATCAGAACAATCATGAGTTTTCGGACAGTGAACAAAATAAAGAAAAACAACGAGATAAATCGAAAAACATGGAAGATCCGCTTAACTCAGGGAGCATAATCGGAATAGATTGGTTGTTCGAGAGCGGAGATTGTTCGGGGGAGCCATGGACAAGTAAGAGTAAGTTCAGCGTATGGAAATGTACTGATTTTTTTTGTAGGTAAAAAGTGATCTGGTCGAATTATTTTTTGCTATTTGCAAGCTTATATTGTTACGTTTTTCTAATTCGTGCTGCCAGTATTTTGGACTTTCACTCGCTCTGATGATACGGATACGTCAGAAAGCCTACAGACGGCTAGTACAGATTGTAAGTTGGACGCACTATAAAGTTAGGTTTTTCGCGTTGGGGAGATCACTGTTGAGTCAAAGAATATTTTAATATAATACTCAATTGACAGATGAACGTATCGTATTTAACGCTTCCACTCAGCTTCGCGCATGGTTCTTAATTCACATCACAATGCAATCTTCACAAATAAAAGTAGAGGCGATCGATCTTCTAACGTTGTTCGTAAATAGTAAAATGTATGAGAGCAATAAATACGGTATACTGATTTGCGTAGATCTTCATTCTAAAGAGCCTGATTCGGAATCGTCCAGTACAACGACTCTCAGCATCGAGAACGAGGTAAAGCGGAACTTGTTACCACAACTGGAAGTGGACAACACTACTAAGCGTCACCAGGGAGCGATCCCCAAACAGAGCCGTCCAAAACCCACCCCATCGGATGCCGCGGACGACAGTATCGTAC